AGGACGGTATTTATTTCACTACTGTAGTGAGCAGATGGGCGGGTGGGTGTTTTAGGCACTTCCATCGGTATGTTGATAAACGACAGTAGGTGCTGTGAAATGCTGTGTTGAGGGAAAAATGATCAGTCAGAGACAAAAAAAAAAAAGTAAGTAATCTGGTGTGCTATTTGCTGGGCTACTTTGTTTCCTTCTGTTTTCTTTTTCCCCTTGGTGGTCCAGCAGTACTATGTTTTGGTTTTGAGAAGAAAGATGGTCTTGTACAGATCTTGTACAAGCTATATTGATACAAGTCATAGCAAAGCGGTAGGTGTTGTATTCAGTTTTCAAAGTGAACTTAGATCAAAACAGTAGGGAACCAAAATCAGCCTGTGAGTGCTTGTCACTGAATTTTCATGTATTTAAAAAATAAAATTGCTACCCTACTTGGAAAAACTTCTACTGAACTTCTCAACAATACATGAGTGCCTATTGGCCTTGTTTTGTGGGGATTATTGTGACTAGTTCACAATAAAGCCTCTTTCTAATGTTCACAGTCTAGGCATAGATTTAGACATGATTCCCTAGCAATGGGCTTCTCTCTGAGCACTTGTGTAGTCACACTGACTTGAATCTGCCAAGAAGACTTACCATATATCCAGAGTTAGGAATGCAAGGCTGACGCCTGTGCGTCCTGTCACCAGCGCGTCCCGATGCGATGGCTGCTGATGTGGTGGCCTGTTGTTTTGCTGAGGCTCTGTACCTCAGCGCTGTGGCCAGTGTGCTTCCCTGTCACCCAGCTGATTTCATCCCCTTTCCTTTCACCTTGTGAGAGCTCCAACGGTGGTTACAATGCTTCAAACTTTTGTAACCTACCAAGACCTCCTGTATGTGCTGTGAGCGCATTGGAATAAAATGAAGTCGCTCTTCAGAGTACTGGTCTGGGACTGCAAAGAAGCCTCAGCATCAGGAGGATGCATGCTGTGACTTTCTGGTGCTATCCAGATGGTTACCAGTTTAGCAATGTGTTGTGTGTCTTGAAAAACTTGCCTGTGTTAAGTTCTGGAAGTGGTAAAATTCACTTTGAATGCACACCATCTATTTCTTGTTCTGTTCTAGGACCCAAATAAAGACACGGAGTGGAATGACATCCTGCGCAAGAAAGGTATCCTTCCTCCAAAGGAAAACCTGGAGGAGCAGGAGCGTGCAAAGGAAGAGGAGCAGCTTGCCATTCTTCAGAAGTCTCTTGGTGAGTGATCAGCCAACTTGGGCAGCAGCAGCAGGACAAGTCTTTGAATGGCTCCTAAGGGAAGCTTGTAGAAAGAAATGGCCAGCAGTAATGTTTATATGCCTGTAGAGCAATCTGTCCTTTTCCAAGTTCGTAAGGGATACCAAAGCTTCCCCTCGTATAGGGTGATCATCCGTTAACAGTATCCAGCAAATACCTTCCTGAACACATGGGTTCTTCCAGCACAGGAAAGCTTTGTTCTTGATGTCAGCTCCATATTTTTATAGAAGTAATGTTTGAAAACTGAAATAAGAACAGTACGAAGGGAGTCTGGCACGTAAATGTGCAAGCAGAAGCATCTCATGACATTGCCTATTGTATGCTTCCTCCATTGTTCAGGCATCCCTGCCATGTTGTGTGTGTGTTAGGTGTGGCTTTGCTGCAGCCACCGAACTTGAAAGCTAGTGCAGGTACTCGTCTGCCAGCCTAGACAGTCTTCAGCTCAGGGTCCTTTACATCAGTGTCTTTCCATCTGTATGTCTAAAATGCATAATATTTTCTAGAAGTCCAGTAACAATGCTTAAAAAAAGCCATGTTTCCCATAGTTTATCTGTCCTTAAGGTAAATAAATTCTGTTGGGATGATAAAAGCTTATGAGCTTTAATCCTAGAATGAGGTTTTTGCTGATTTGATGTTTCTTCCGTTCTAGTGAAAACTTATGAGGACATGACTCTGGAAGAGCTAGAAGAGAATGAAGATGAATTTAATGAGGAAGATGAGAAAGCTATTGAAATGTACAGGTCAGAGCAGCATGCAGAATTTGGCTTTAATGAAAATTGGAGTTTTTTTCTTTTGTGTGCTGTTAGATACTGTCAAAGAGAGGAAGGACGTTGTTAGGCCTGATGACAGAAAATGCGGGTTGTGTTTCTGATCTCTTGTAGAGCTTCTAAATGTCTTTAATAGGATAACTCTGTTTAAATTCAGTGTCCTTTATCTGCAACCTAGTTTTGCAGAGATAATATGCAGCTGCTGAGTGCATGGCTTGGGATTCTGAGAGCTCTGAAAATCACCTCCAAGATTTCTCAATTTTTGCATGAATGAGATTAAGGTGCTGCAGATTTACATAATTACAGTGTTGGGTTTCTGTTATCTCTTTATCTCTACCATCTCTTGTGGTTTTTGTTATTTAGTTTGGTACTGTAGCATCTGCAGAAGAAATGTCTGCTGAGGGCAGAAATGAGAAGAAAATATTCATGGAACATAGTTGTACTTCTTGCATGTCGGTGGTTTTAACTTGTGATGTAAATATAAGATCATCTGTTGACTGTGTCCCCTTCCTTTTGTTGCTCTGGGGTTTGAAGAAGTTTGTAATCTTCCTCTGAAGCCTAGGTTTCAAGCAGCTCCTTTAAGTATTGTTTTGTAAAAAAAATGCACCTGTTCTCAAGATCTCTTTCCCATTCCTTGCTATTCAGGCAGCAACGGTTAGCAGAGATGAAAGCAACTCAAATGAAGAATAAATTTGGGGAAGTTTTGGAGATTTCGGGAAAAGATTATGTTCAAGAGGTTACAAAAGCTGGAAAAGGTATCTGGGTAGTCCTGCACCTCTACAAACAAGGGTAAGAATTTGTTTTAACCCTTAAACTTTCACTGTCAATAGCTGAAAATACTGAGGAACTGATTCTGGAGTTCTAAGAAGTAAAAAATTGAATTTGTAATTTCATTGCTGTTGACTCAAAGCTCCTGAACTTAACTCTAAAATGATGTTACTGTGAAGTGGCTTTTTTATACATCTACACAGCACAGCGTGGCTTGCACCGTACAGCTACCACAGAGGTAGCTGTTAACACCGAAATATCCAAGCTTTGGAAATTATTCTGGATAAAGTATGAGTGGCTGTGCATTAGAAGGATCACTGTGTGTCTTTAGCCTGGTTTCTAGAGGCATAAAAATGGAGTGAACAAGGTCGCCAGTCCTGTCAGCATGATGGAAAAACTTGTCAAAAAGGTCTAAGTTGCTAGAATTTTCTAGAAAGTGTTAGAAATACTTTATTTTGTTCATTGTAATTCACATACTTTCTTCCAGGAGCTGCTTTTCTTTCTATTTTGCCCTTACTCATGCAATTTCTAAATATTGTATCTTCGGAAACCGATTTCTCTGTATGATAGAGGGGAAGGTTGTATTGCTAATATCTTAAAACAAAAACCCCACTACCCACTGAAACCTCCGGTGATGCTGATTTCCTATGGATGCTGGAATACTAGACAACAAAAGTATTCAGAAGTTGCATTTGTGGAAAGACAAATGTACCAGAAGCAACTTCCTGAGCTGATATTTCTGACCTTCCTTCTGGAGCAGATTACTGCCTAATTTGTCTTTTATTTTTTCCTTATGTCTGTCTGTTGCTGTTCTTCATAGAATTCCACTCTGTGCCTTAATCAATCAACATATGAGCGGGCTTGCAAGAAAGTTCAGAGATGTGAAATTCATCAAAGCTATCTCTACCACCTGCATTCCCAACTACCCTGATAAGAACCTGCCTACGATATTTGTCTACCTGGAAGGAGACATCAAAGCTCAGTTCATTGGGCCCCTGGTGTTTGGTGGCATGAACCTGACAAGGGATGGTGAGTGTCTGTGTCTCTGGTCTTCCAAAGGAAAAGCAAAACTGCTTTGCTGGGAATGAGGGAAGTGAGGCTTAGGAGGAGAAGGGAGGTACTAAAAATCATATTAGACTTTTTTTTGTGCCTTTATGGCTCAGCAACATGTGATTGAGGCTACCTTGTAAAAGCAGTGAGTGGTTGGGTAGGCCAACATATAGATATTTATCTTACGCATGGGTGAAATAAATCTTCCTGAATATATTGAAGGGTAAACAGTACCCACACACATTCTTTGGGGCTGTTGTACCTGAATGACTGACCTTGCCCACGCTTACTTCATAATCTGTGCACTTGATAACTGGTGCTTGCCTATTGCATTGTAGGGCTGCTTGTTTCATTTTCGAGCTGATGCCATATATTGTTTGTACCTTCCTGACAGGCAGGTTCCACTCCTTGTGAACCTTTTAAAGAGAGCCTGTCTGTTTGTCCAAGTGGAGCTGCTAGTCTGAAATTGGGCTGCTTCCTTTTCCTCTTGCCATCTCCCAGAGATGTCAGCATGTTAAGCTCCTGCCTCAGTGGTTCAGGGGACACAGGGGAGAGGATGTTACCTTTCTTGGAGGTCACGGTTTTCCCTAGACCTATTTCTCCTTGCCCGTCTCAGCAGCCTGGAGGCAGGCTGTGTTGTGCAGCCTCATCAGCATGACGTGCTTCAGGAGATGAGGGCGATGATGCAGATCTCACAGAGCACTGTGGCTTTTCAGTAAAAGCTGCTGTTTGGAGGTCGTTGATCAGGGATGGTATCCTACAGCAGTGCTTGGAGACAGAGGTCAGCAGTGAAGGAGGCTCTTCTTAGAAAGCAAATGCAACTCGGATGTAACCTCATGGATTTTACTTCAGTTAAAAGGATACTCATAAGCTTTCTGAGTAGGCATATTGGTCAGGATGCCTGCAAGCTTTTTCAAGGTCAGACTTTAAGGACATCTTTATCTGAAGTGAACCACAGTTAAGCAGCATTTCAAGGTCTGTGCTGAATGATGTCACTGCCTATAGTGGGATAGGATGCAAAGTTGGTGTGTGGTTTTGTGTTGTGTGGTTCTTTGTTTTTTTTTTTTTCCTGCTAAAACCCTGAAGTTTACAGGGTATCTTGAGTGTGTACTGTAGAAAACGCTCCCCTACCTTGAACTGTCAGAAGGGGGAAAAGCTCACCAGTGAGATCACTGATTTGGGAACAGCTAACTACCTACAGTGGCCGCCTAATTATGCACTGAAGTGAGCAGTGGTAGCAGAACCTACAGTTAGCTTTCTCCTATTTTTAGCATGTAAATAATTGATTTGGGAGGGGGCCAAAGGTGACTGAGCCAGGTTAATTCAGTCATCACAGAAAGCTGGGCACTAAAATTCTGCACTTTCTTTTAATTCTTCCTTCCTTCTTGCCTAAGTCCAGGTGACTTCCACTGGAGATTAAAAAAAGTGTGATGTTGTATTCATTACTTTGTAATGCCAGAAGGAAATTAGATTTAATGATAGGGTTGCCAGCAGGACTAGGAGAAAGGTTTCAACTGAATGTGTTGTATTGACTTTCTACCGCTTCTGGGAAGGAATCCAATTTGGGTCTATATAGTAATAGGCCTGCTACTGATGGTGGAGTCTCTCTTACTGTCTTGCTAAGGAACTAATAATCAGTGCATGGTGGTGTGGAAAAGGGGTGAATTTCATTTACAGAGTACATCCCTGAAAAATACCTATAATTCAGACATGTAAATGGAATTGCTGCAATTTTTTTGCCCCTCAGCAAATCTATTCCCTGCCTTTTCTGATTATGATGAACTTGGTACATGATGGAAGGAGCTGTAATATAAAAGCAGTATTCCTTCACTGGTGGTAGATGTGTAAACATGTCTTCTGCCCTTAGGTGGTTAGAAGGAGGTGGAATTCACTTTCACTGGGAGAGTTGCCTCTAAAGCTGCTGCTCTGTATCTGTCAGCTCCTTTGTGCTCCTGGTTGTAAAGGGAGCAGGGAGGCACTGAGGATGCTACCGGTGGGCTGCAGAGCAGTACCCTAGTCTGAAACCTGTGCCAGCACTAGTGACTGTGAAGGGAGGGCTCAGCTGGGGAGGGTGTGGGGGACAGCGCAGGGGCTGGGACCTGGGTGTGGAAGAGGAGGAACAGAGCAGGACCCTGGTTTTGGTGGTGGCAGGGTGATAAGAGAAGTCAGCTGGGGAAGCAAGGATGGCTTTCTCCAGTTTGCTCCCCTACATTCATGGCCCTCTTGTTTTGCTCTGCACAGAATTGGAGTGGAAGATTTCGGAGTCGGGTGCCATCAAGACAGACCTCGAGGAGAACCCCAGGAAGCAGATCCAGGACCAGCTCATGTCTTCAGTCAGGGCATGTGTCCCAGCTAGGGGGGAGAGTGACTCAGAGGATGACTAAGTCCTGCAATGGCATCAAGATTGATAGAGTATGCTTCCCACCTAGAGCACTGGAGACTCTCATCAAGATCTCGCTGAGCCCCAGAAGGGCGGAATTTCAAGACAGCCATTTATCTAGAAACTTCTAGAAACCAGAAAGGTTTCTTTTTTTTAAAAAAACCAAAACTTATTGCAGCTTCACTTAAGATCCTGAAAGACATTTTATATTATGAAGCCTGAGTAAGTCTTCCTCAAAGTTTTAAAATATAGACATCAGTAGAAACAGAGGTCTCTTGTTATTTTCTTAGTAAATTGCTGACTTCTTTAAAAAAAAAAAAAATCTAGAGTATGAAGTGGCCTTAAGTGCACTGGTTTTGACAAACTTAACTTGTGTAAATAAATCTAAATAGCTGGTCTTAAACAACTGGTTATAGCACTTAGTTGGGCCTTCTCTTAGCCCATCGTGAGGAGATATCTGGCAGCCTGGATTGCGTAGAGAGCTAGGGGATGGGTACCCCCATGGTGTGAGTGACGCTGAGGGTGGTGTGTGGTCCTTTGCAGAGGTGGGCTGTCAGGGAGGCCAGCACGAGGCCATGAGCTGGGACCCCAGACATCTTGGGAGAGACCTTGGTGACGGCCACCATCTCCTGGGACCTGCTGACTCCAGAATCCCCTTTCGTTTAGCAGCAGTATTTTGCCCTGCACAGGTGCTGAGCTTTCTGTGCCATCTTATCTGCTAATTGGGAAAGAAAATTCAGGGTGATGGTGCTGGAGTGTGAAACTGCTGACTTCTTCCACAAAATCAGGAGTCTGATGCATTACTATGGTAGTGCCATTGCCAAATGGGAGGGGAAAATAATGTTTGAAGAGCTGATGTCTTTCTATATTAAAGCCTTCCGTCTTCTAGGTACAGTACTAATAATTGAGGCCTTAGAAGAGAATGAACTGAAATACCACCTTAATTATAGATCTGCTGACACTCAGAGCTGCTTGCTTATTTTAGGTTGGATTTAACGTCCACCTACACTTTCAATTTGTCTACACTTGAGCTAACAAGCTCCAAGAGATTTTGCTAACAAGGCTGCCCCAAGGCCAGTTTATTATATTGCTGATGGATTCTGTGGGTGGCTGGTACAGAATGCAACACTCGATAAGCAGCAACTTTTTTTTTTTTAGTTTTGTATTAGTTCATAGCGACTTTTCAGCATGTTTCTTGCATTCTCTCCCCAGTCAAATCAGTATGTAGTTCGAACAACAAATCACTGTTCCTTAAACTTCAGGTGAAGTTGCAAGATCCTGATGGAGAGCTTCCTCTTTGAGGTCTGAATGGTGATTTGAGTGAGTGTCACTTCAGTCTCCTTTCTTTTCTCTTTTGTGTGTTTTGGCAAAATAGCTAAAAGATTAATATTGTGCAAGTGAGCCAAATGCAGCAGAATACAAGCTGATAAATCCTGAATATTATTATTGTACATAGCACCACACTTCTCATAACACTGGACTATCCAAAATGCTATCAGATGCTTTTCTGTACTTACCTACAACTTCTTACAATCTAGGAAGTTGACAACTCTTTCTCCCCGTAGAAGCCTGCGCTCCATATTTTACTGCTGCTTGTCCTCATTTAACTGTGCTTTGGAATGACCTCTGAGCATGTGGACTGGGTTCCTTTTGGAGGAAACTGTCTAAAGGAGCAGCCCCCAAAGGGAAGGTCGGTCCAAGAGGCTAAAAGAAACCTGAAATAAGGCCCTCTGAAATGTGTGTACAGTGGATGTCACATCCTCAGCCTCTCCCTCTAGGACTGCTGCAGTTGAGCTGTATGAATTGCTGATGCAGATACAGCTGCCATATTCTTCTCAACTTGTTTTTAATTTAAAGTTTATCAAGCCTAGGAAAGGGAGGTGGAATCTGCAATCCATCTTGTATCATTGCTGTGACAACTTCAATTTGAAATCTAGTTTAAAAAGTAGGCAATGCTTTGGATACTTTTTTTTTTACTTCAATTATTCCCTGTCTTATTGTCTCCCACTTCAGTGCCTCTATGGAGGCAGAGTAGCAATAACGTTGCAGCTGCCCTTCCACTGTCTTCTAGACCATTGATGATTCATGGACCACAGCAGGGGAGGAGCTCAAAACAGGATGACCACCCCATTTGGATGGGGTTGCTGAGGGCTGTGTCCTGCGGGATTTTGAAAACATGTAGGGGTGAAGACGCCTCAAATTGTGTCAGTGTTTGACTGGCTCCAGGACCGCCCTCTGTTCTTTGCATCCTGCACAGGCAGCAAGACCATGAGCCAGAATAACTACAGACAGGAGTCTGTTGTCCAGAGCTTGATTCAAAGCTTGTTGTTCAGTCAGGAGAACTGGTGCTTCAAAGGCAGACAGGCATCCCTAGGATACTAACCATAGACCTGCTAGAGCTACTGAACAGAGAAGGCTCAAGGACAGACTGCTCCTTATGACCAGACCATACCGGCTTGCCAGGACCTTAGCCAGTGGCTCTCAGCTTAGAGTATGTGGCTTGAACCCCCTTCTGGAAGGGGGATGCTCAAGCCCTCTACTCCAGAAACTCTGCAAATCTTCCTCAGAAGCTTCCTGCTTGCTCCTATCCATGCTGGCACAGTTATTCTTGTTCCCTAAACTGCAAAGCAAGCCATCTGTGGTGGGATGGCGTCCCCTCACCAGAAGGACTTGTGCCTAGTGAATGAGGCACTACTTTGGTGCAAGTCTGAGCCCCTTAGGCAGAAGTGAGAATTGAACTGAATTGCTGGTGCCCTTGGCATGTGATGTGATAAACCCTAGGATAAATAAAAGGGGGAGGTGGGACTTTGGGCTGTTTCCGTCGCAGTCTTCTCTTCCAGAAGGGTCTTAAAAGAAAACCACAACTGCCTTCCCCTTTTGTACAGAGTCTAATGGGTTTTGTGGGCTCTGGGGCCACCAAGAGGACTGAGCTCCTGAAGAGGACTGAGGCTGTGTAAGGGCATTTGGTTTCTCCAAGCTGCTCAGCTGTGGTAAGCCAGATATGCTGTGTCTGTGACTGATGCTTATGGCCCCCCAGGTAGGAGTTAGGGCTTTCCTCTACAAGTAAACAGGTCTGCCTGGGACTTTTACCCAGGAGACTGGGGAGGGGGAGATTACCTTTTTCTTCTAGACTGCTTAGGACTACAGCAGGGGCTGCCTTTTCCCTTTTAATAGGTGGCATTGAGCAACGTATAACAATTCAGGAGAAATGGAGACAATTTGACTTGTACTGTCTTTTATCCTGAGCTGCTTAATGTATTGACGTGTTGGGGGATGCCATTCGAGGATGCTGTGCTGTAAGGAGCAGATGCAAGAATAATCACAAACCAGAACAGGCTGAATGTTCTGCCCAGCTGCTGAGACCCATGTGGAGCATCGTTGCAAATGGTGTCTGTGCATCTCAGTATTTGGCTAAGTGTGAAAACAGCTTCTTTTAATTTTCTTCTCTTTCCTGCCAATGATACTGCCCTGCTCAAGGCCTTTTGTAGAAATTAGATCTCTGCAGGAAATGGATAATGAGATCTGTTTAACCTTTTGGCAGAGCAGAAGCTGTGGAAGCACACAGTTAAGGGGAATGAGCTTTAGCTTAAAAGGAAGCTGGCCGCTAAATAGCAAACCAAAACAGCCAATTAATATATGTAGCAGAATGAGGCAATATAATGGGAGAAAGTAATTGGAGAGCATGAACTCTCATTTGCCAAGATCCTGTAAACAGTGCTGAGGCTTATACGAGTCACTGTCCTGCATCTGGCTGTGAAAACATCCTTGACTCATCCCATGCTGCAGCGGTGCCAGCGGGTGGGGGGGGGAAAGTAACCCTGGGCCATAGACAGGGCAGATGATTTGCCATCAGTGGACAGTCACTTTGGAGTTTTTTGTGTGAAATCGACGTGAACCACTAGTAATGAAAAGGGTTTTCTTCATGGTACAGGTCTGAAATCTACTGCTTACCCAGGTTATGTGAGCAGCCACATGAGGTTTGTGGCAGGCTGCCCTGATCCAGATAAATCAGAGTGGGGACTTTCCTTTACCCAGACCTGCTTGCCTTCACACTGTGCACTCGCCAAACCCTGCCAAACCTAGTGGGTAATGTTTTACATCCCCTTCACACGCAGAGGGAGAGCCAGGTGTTGTGCATGCAGGGCAAAGCCATGAAAGGGCAAGTTAAGCTACCAGTGTTGTCCCCAAAAGCGGGATCTTTACGTGGTGTGCCAGCCAATTCACACAGGCCTGAGGAATTCCTTTTTTTACAGGTTTGCACAAAGCTGGCTCAACTCCACACAAAAACTACAGCATATTTATCCTGTTACATGATTAGCAAAAACCCACCCAAATTTACACTTATTGGTTAGTTATAATTAAATTAGCCTCACTTGCTATGTAAATTAGCACACATGCTCCTTATGGGGGGGGTGGGGCTTAGTCTTTTTGATCTTGAGTTAAGTTGGAGGTCGTGATCTCCCCCTGCCGCCTTTACCTTTCCCCCAGGTACTGCTGATTTCTGCTGACTTTACACCTCATGTGGCAACTTTCCAGCCTGGTGATCTGCTGGGGTAGGGTGTTCCTCTTTGTCAGTCTTCAGTTGCACTCAAGGATCTCAGTAGTTAGCAGGTGTGCAGATTTACAAGCTCATATGATAGTACTGTTGGGAGTCTAACTTTTGGCTTATCAGTTCCCCCCCATCACATTCTGCATTCCTCAGGTCAAGCTTCTCTTTCTGTCTGAGAAATTGGTGTCTCTCCTCTGCCCATCCATCTGTTTCTTGTCTACATCACCAGTTCTCCAGGTACTTAATTCAATTCAACCATGGTGAGGGACCTGCATGTAGGCAGAAGTGTCTGCAGGACTGCGATTGCAGGGGGTGAAGCGAAGGAGTGTCCTTTGGGTACCTGTGCTGTGCCGTACCTGTTTTGGCAGGGTCCTCCTTTCCCAGGGCTCAGCTCAGCCTCGCCCGCCTCCTCTTTGGGTCTGGCCCATCACCTCCCTTCCCAAATACACTCAGGTGGATTTTTGGTTGGCCTTACTGCCTGGAGTAGTTTTAACTTAGGTGAGATGATTCACTTTGAGAAAGCTGGGTGTGTGCTTCCAGCGTGGCTGGATCGGGGTACGAAATAAGAACACGATGTTAAGCCATAAGTCAGAATGATACCTG